AATTTTAATTCAAAATTGCCAAAATTATAAATTTCCTAATTTATCTATTGATTTGTGGTTAATATTGGTTCTCACAGTTACCACAAACTAATTAGTTCTCATTTGATTAGGCCCCTATATATATATATATATATAGAGAGAGAGAGAGAGAGAGAGAGAGAGAGAGAGAGAGAGAGAGGAGCGATCAAATGAAAACCACTCCAATTTGTAAAAACCGTAAAAACTACTATCATCCGTTTTAATCTTATCAAATTTTTTTCATGAAATTGTTTAATCTTGTGAAATTGTTTCATATAATAATTTTTTTAATGAAGTTGTTTCATATACTACTTAATGAAATTTTAATGAAACTGTTTCATGTATTTCTCTAAAATTAAAATAATGAAGATGATAATATCCATGATTAATATTCTCCAAAATAAAAATGATTAATCAACTTCTCATAATTACAAAAAAATGAACAAAATAAAAAATTATGATTGATAGAATGAGGTTTTTACGGTTTTTACAAATTGAGTGGTTTTCATTTGATCGCTCCCCTATATATATATATATATGGAGTAATTTAATTCATTGCAATAACTAATAAAAAAATAAAAGATATATATCCAACAAAAAGTTATTAATTTTTTACTTTTATTTTTTGAGAAAATTACATAAAAACCTAAAACCTAATAATTTTTTATTTTATTTTGAATGATTAAATCTAGGGTGTTTGTGATCCGGCTTTGTTAGTTTAACCCCACATTCGCAAATCAAACCGTGATTGTGGTTTAGAAACTTTTTCGAACCGAGCGTTTGCCAATAAGTGGTCAGATCGATCAAACTGGACCACAAAAAGACGGTCTGGTCTGACCGGTGTAGGCGGTTTGGACCTCATATGTAATTTAATTTATTTCTAAAATGAAATTTCTACAATATCACATTATTAAAAAAAATCTTATATCGAATTATAAATTTTATTATCTCAAAATATGTAAAATAAAGCATTGAAGAAGTTGAAAAAATTAAATAAATCCACTAACAATAGTTGGAATTTTGAGTAAACATTAAGGGAAATACAAACAATTGAGAAGTTAAAATAAAAACTCCTGTGTTGAATGATTTTCTTTAATTGGGATATAGAAGTAATTTTACAACATGAAAACTAAATATAATTAATACATATGTATTTTGGTGGTCGGTTTGGTCCAAATCGCTCAATAAAATGTTCAAACGGCAAACCAGACCAGAACAGACCGAGCATTTGGCTATTTTTCAGACCATACCGGACCACCACACTATTCAAACTGTCAAAAACGACCCGGTTTCACTTGGTTTGACCGGTTTATGCAGTCCAATGATTTTTTGAACACCCCCAATTAAATGCTTAAACTTTTTTTCTTGAATAAACAATTGAAAATATTCATTTTTGAATGATTAAATCCCTAGATTTTGTTAATAACCACTGAAATTTTTCATTTTAAATGATTAAGTCCTTAAACTTTTCATTTGAATAAATAAATCAACGGACATTTAGAAATTTGTTATCTACATTTTCTTTTAATCCAAAAGCTACCTTTAACAATATATGAATGTTTTAGAATTAAAAAAAAATCCTTAAATAAGTTTCATAATTTATAAACTCTACGTCATTCAAACCCCTTGCACCTAAGACCATTGTTCCCCTCACCACTCCATCGTGGTCCACTCTCTATTACCGCCCATCATTGTCTTGTCCCTACCATCGATCTCCTTTTTTTTTATATTTTTTTCGACTCTATTTTTTTAATTCATCTATACTTACTCCATTGGATTGTTGTAAAAAAGGCATAATCGGGAAGAAAAAAAAAATACAAAAATTACTGAAATTAAATATATTTTTCAAAAATTTGACTTTTCTTTCTTTATCTTGAAAAGTTGTTGAAGTTGATTTTAGTGCCTTTTTTTTTTTTAAATATATTATTCTTTTTAACCTAAAATAATTGTCCATAACCAAAAAAAAAAAAAAATTGTAACATGTAAATATTGCAATTTTTAGTTAACTATTTTAATAATACATTTGAAAACTAATTATCTATTTCTGAAAATGAACATAATTTTAAAAGAAATAAAAATATCAACACTTAGGGGCCGTTTACCAAATATACTTATCCGGTAAGCGTTTATCGGTGAAATTTAACATTATCATTTACTTACCGGGTAAGATTTTAGTCCACTAAAACGGTATTGTGTGCAACAATTTACCCGGTAAACACTTATCATGGTAAGAGTTGTCACCCTTGTTTACCGGGTAAGACTCTTGGTCATTGTCTCGTTCTTACCGGGTAAGATTCTTGATCATTACCATATTCATCCAGTAAAATAATGTGACTTAACATTCACTTATCCGAGTAAACATTTAGTAAACGGCCCCTTATTTTAGGATGGAAAAAATATATGTTTATTTTCCCTCCTAAAATAAATATCTACGATATTTTAAGAATTTATAATTATTATATTTTGATTAACAAAAGTACAATTTTACCTTTAATTATATTGAGTGAATTTTTTCCGATCTCATAATTAAAAATAAAATAATAAATAAACATTTAATTCGAAAATAAATTTAAATAATAATATAAACCCAGAAAAGTATTAATTATTTAAAAAACAATCGGTGGGTCCCACCCTCAAATTCACAAAACTTTATAATACACTATAAATAGTGATAAACACCCTTCAAGTGTTTCCCTAAATGAGGGATCAGATTCAAACACCAATCTAAACATCCCTCCATTTTTCTTGCAATCTTCCCATTTCCTCTCTTTTTCTTTTACTTTTTAAGTCATCATATTTCAAAACGAATCGGAAAAAATGCGTAACGGTTTGAGTTCGAGTCTTTCAGTTACAGAACGAGGGTACCTTCCGAGCGAGAAGTTCGATGACGATGGCAGAATTAAACGTACGGGTAAGTTCTTGTGCGTTTTCGTTTGATAAGTTCATATATTTGTGTTTTTGTGATTGTGTTCGTGATTGTTGTTTTGTTTTTCTTTCTTTCTTTTAAAAGGGACGTATATGAGTGCCACTGCGCATATAATTACAGCAGTGATAGGGTCGGGAGTGTTGTCGCTAGCATGGTGTTTTGCACAACTAGGATGGATTGCTGGGTCCATCACACTCGTCTTGTTTTCTGTAATCACGATGTTTAACTCGATTTTGCTGACGGATTGTTACCGTTCACCTGATCCGGTTACTGGCACCAGAAACTATACTTACATGGATGCTGTAAAATCCAATCTTGGTAAACCTCACGTCTTTATTTCTTTCTCAAAAGTTGTTGTGTCAGGTTATGACCGTTTCGAAAAGAAAGTCTCGTTCGATGTCAAGCTAAGGTCGTAAAAGATCATGTGAGAATTAGAATTAAAGTGAAAAACGAGGATTGATCTGGTGCATCTCTTCTTAATATGCATACAAAGATGGAGATCTCTTCTTATGCTTCTTGTTTTAATTTTTTAAAATACCAAAAATATCCTTGAATTAAATTTTAATTCAAAATTACAAAAATTATAAATTTCCTAATTTATCTATTGATTTGTGGTTAATATTGGTTCTCACAGTTACCACAAACTAATTAGTTCTCATCTGATTAAGCCCCTATATATATATATATATATATATATATATATATATATATATATATATATATATATATATATAAATAAAGTGAGTGCGGAAAACATTATTTAAATAAACGTTAGGAGGATATGTGTGTGGGCAGACACGTGCTAAGAACAAACACTCCACCAGCCTCCCATAAATGATTGTAGGTACAAATCGGTCAATAATAAGTTTTAATGGCGATTTCACTTTAATTTGGTATATGTTTGTATGAGAATATCTTGGACAGAATTTTTAAAATTTCTCGTAAAAAAATTAAAAATCAAAATCTTAAAAAAATTACATTTAACTTTATTTTGAAGATTACAATATTAAATGTAGAGAAAACTGCATTAAAATAAAACCAAATTTCACTTTATTCCTATTTTGGGGAATCAACTTTCAAAATTGTCATTTATGGAATTTTATCAAACTTTTTGTTTATTTAAGGGTCTGGTTGACCTGTTAATGTTGACATCATCTAGATATTTTGTCAACTAAGATATTCTACGTCATATTAATTTTTAATTTTAAAACTAATATTTCATGTCATATTAGTTTTTTATTTTAAAACTAATATTTCATGTCATATTTAAAATTATAAAATAATTATAGAAAAATAACTAATTTTTTTTAATTATTGTAATAAAATCTATTTTTCATTACAAATCTCGTATAAAAAAAATCAGATATCAAATTGAAGATATTTTCAAAATAAAAAATACAAATTACCAAAATAAAAATTGTTTTTTACTAATGCAATAAAAAAATTAATTTAATAGAAAAAATTAATTGATGCAATAAAAAATAAATATTAATAAAAATTAATTTTTTATTGCATTACTAAAAAACAAAATTTTTTTTTTTATAATTTGGATTTTTTTTTGAAAAAATCTTCAATTTGATATTTGAATTTTGTTAAATGAGATTTGGAATGAAAAATAGGTTTATTACAATAATTTAAAAAAACGAATTTTAGTTATTGTTCTATAATTATTTTGCAATTTTAAATATGACATGAAATATTGATTTTAAAATAAAAAATTAATATGACGTGTAATATCTTAGTTGACAAAAGATTTAGATGATGTCAGTATTAACAGAATCTTAAATAAACAAAAATTTTGATAGAGACCCCTAAACGACAATTTTGAAAGTTGGTTCTCCAAAATAGGAATCAGGTGAAAGTTGGTTACATTTTGATACAACTTTCCTTAAATGTATTAACATTTGGGTCAACTGAATATGACTTCTTTATTCGATAAATATCTTCGTGTTAAAATTATAATGTATACGGTTATCGAATACCGTTGGGACAAATCGACACATTTCGATTCCGATCAAGATTCTTCCGTTGCAATTTCACACAACTCGGATAATTTGGGATTACCTTTATGCAATCGGACTTTTATAGAAAAATCAAACGTTGTAATTTTCGTTATATGTGTTTGTGTTATGTAGGAACGCTTCAATACAAACTCTGCGGCGTAGCACAATACGGTGTCCTCACCGGAATAACCATAGGATACACCACCACCACCGCGATCAGCATGGCGTAAGTTCACCACGATATCGCTTTTTTCCGTTAAGTAACTTCATTTCTCTCGGGTTTGATCCATTTAAGTTCCGTTCATTAGTGCCATCAACAAATCCAATTGCTTCCATAAACATGGCCACCAAGCGGATTGTCGCGTGCACAACAACTCGTTCATGGTGATTTTCGCTGTCATTGAAATCATCCTAAGCCAAGTCCCTAACTTCCATAAACTGTCACCGATCTCAGTCATCGCTGCTATCATGTCCTTTTCCTATTCGTTAATCGGCATCGGTCTCTCGATCGCCAAAATCGCAGGTCGGTGAAAACCCGTCTTTAGTTGTTTGTTATCGTTTGATTTAATCGATCTTTTTATCGACTTGGGGATTTTTAGCACAGGTAATGGAATTGGTAAGACGAGCCTAACAGGAGTACCAGTTGGGAAGGATTTTTCAGGCATGGAGAAAATGTGGAAAACTTTTTCTGCTCTTGGAGATGTCGCTTTTGCGTATTCGTTCTGTTTCGTGCTCATCGAAATTCAGGCAAGTCGTTTGTGATTTTCAGTAAAAGATGACGTTTTCGTCTTGTGGATTTGGAGGGTTTCTAAGTGACTTTGGTCGACAAAATGCAGGATACGTTGAAATCAAGTCCACCCGAGAATAAGCAAATGAAGAAGGCTACAGCCACCGGAATCATGGCATCGACTGTGTTTTATATGTTGTGTGGTGTGTTAGGATATGCAGCGTTCGGAAATGATGCGCCCGGAAACTTCTTGACGGGGTTCGGGTTTTATGATCCATTTTGGCTTATCGATATCGCTAATATTTGCATCGTTATTCATCTTCTTGGTGCTTACCAGGTAAAGTCATGTGTACCATTATTTTCAAAAATTTCGAGAATTTGTTAGAAACTAATTTTCTCCGTTTTGAAAAATCTGTTAAGATGCTCTTATGGATTATGTAAAGAGGCTTTGGTGCAATAGTCCCTTCTATTAACTAACACAATGATTGTACGGCAATCATTTTACAGGTATTAGCACAACCATTGTTCGGGTTCGTTGAGAGCTCGGCACGAAAGAAATGGCCACAAAACAAGCTCGTAACGAAAGAGCTCTCACTGTGTGGAATCGATATCAATATGTTCAGACTTGTTTGGAGAACAACGTACGTGATAGTAACGACAATAATCGCAATGATCTTCCCATTCTTCAACGACTTTGTGGGTTTACTTGGCGCGGGTACGTTCTGGCCATTATCCGTTTATTTCCCGATCGAGATGTACATTTCACAGGCAAAGATCCCCAAATACTCGTTCAGATGGATTTGGATGCAAATACTGAGTTTGGCATGTTTGATCGTGTCCCTGGTTGCCGCAGTTGGATCAACTCGCGGTCTCATAACTTCGGTCCAATCTTTCAAGCCCTTTGAATCTGTATCTTAACTTAACCCAGGTTGGATCGGTTCAATGTTTAATCAGCAAGGTGGATTTAACATAAGTTACTAGAAGTAGGAATCTGTATTTACAAGTGTTGGAATGAAAGAAATCTCGTTATAAGGAGAGTTTCTTGGCATTTACAGAACTTTTGGACATTGTGGTAGAAACATAATGACGAAAAGTCTAGCTACTTGATCTTTTAAGACGTATATGGAGAGCTGTACCATCAGTTTAGCCTTGGTGCAGTTTCGGAGATCCGCTGGTCTTCCAGAAGTGCGTATGGATCAACATACTGGGGTAGGTATACTTGTCGTGTGCTAGCATCGTGAACGAATTTTGGTCCAAAATACTGCAAATGGGAAGAAATGTCACGACTAAATAGAAATTGAAAGTGAAATCTGAAGTAAAAGTTTAGCATACATAAGAGGGGCCATACTGTCCTGCGCACATACCACCACCTAGACCCCACCCCTGAGTGGGATATACAGCGTTCGTTCGGTTTGGTTTACAAAGAGGAGTGATGCTACTTGTCTTTCTTTCTTGTAGAAATGCCAAACAGATGCCAACATTGCAAGAATGGGAGAATTTGGACAAAAATGCCATGTATGATGGTTTTTACTTGCACAATTTTGTCCAAAACCCTTGCAAGCTATAGCATTTTCTAGCATTTGTGCAAGACTAGTGGCTAGTTTGAAACAAGAAGCCAACTACGATGGTAAAAAAGGTAGATCATTCATGTAAAAACGAATATACATATTCTTTAAAACAAGGTATACTTCTTGTTTAATCCAACTCGAAAGTTTCATCTAGCACTTCAGATGTAGTTCTATCAAACAAGCAACAAAGTTCCAGATGGACTATGGTACAAAACTATTTTCATCCTTTTGTTCGGATAAAAGTGAAATCTAATACATCATATGCATGCGCTGTTTTCTTTCTACAAAATTCGGGGTATGAGTTACTTAATAAACACCACTCACTGGAAATTAATGTTCAATCATAAGTTTCTCCATGGGATATCTAAGACAGTTGAACAATTCCAAACTAGGGAGTGAAGTGTAAATACTTCAAATAAAATGGATCATATGCCACTAGGAAATTAATTTCAAGAATGATACACTCTCAAATTAATCTTTTTACAGCATAAACAATTTCAAAAACTTAACATCTATGTTGCAAGGATACGGATACAGGGATAAGAGTGCATGATAAATGGGTTTTGTGATTTAGGGGCTTAATCATTTGAAAACTCTACAATTCGTCAGATCCATCCTAAGCCACTAATTTGAGATAATTAATGTTATAATTAATGAGAAAATCAATGCATTTTTTAAAGAAAAATTCAAATTTCATAAATATCTCTCTCTCCTCTCCTCTCTTCTCTCCTATAACATAAAAAAAAGGTTTATTGGCGGGGACCTCATGGCCCCGTGGTCCACATTTTGTGAGCCCTACTTGCCATACCTCATAAGCAAGCACCGGAAAAGACAACCTGTCCTCCCCTGGAATCGGACCTTTGCGGGCACGCCCAAGGCAAGGCATTTACGGAAGGAGGTACCGATCAATTAATTGAATAGGGTGGGATTCGAACACTAGACCTCCTAGGAAGCCAAGTGCCCTTGCCACCACTAGACCAACTAGTGATTGGTTCTCTCCTATAACATACACACACCCATGCATAATCAAATATGCAAATAAGGCCAATACATTGGGAACACAATGAAAACAACCTTAAGAGATTTCATACTAGGGTGTCCACAAGTAGCAGGTTTAGATTTAGGTTTGTCGTTTTAGTCGGTGTTCACAAATTATAATAGTATTTTACAGAAGTGTTCACAATGTGTTTACCTTGTGTGCACATTCAAATTTATGTGTGTGTGCGTGTGTGTATGTAACGGATAGAGGAAAGAGAATGGAGGAGAGAGAGTGAGTTTTTTAAACTAAATTAGATTTTATTTTTGAATTAATTTTTTGTGGTCTAAATTGGATGATCTCACGAATTATGAAGTTCTTAAAAGGCCCCCCATGTGATTTAAAGATTATAAAAGAATTAGGAAAAAACAGTGTGTTTAAGCATGCATGTGTGTAAGATAAAGATACACCGAAACTTGGTCTTATCATGCTTTTATTTTTATTTATTGTATTCATATTAGCCATAACTTCTGTTTGTGGTGACATAAATCCCTCTGAAAAGCCGACATGAGATAACAAATCCAGTGTTTCACAAAATAGGGATGTCTCCTATGTTACTATAATATGTGGAACTTGGGTTCTCCCAATAACTAAAAAGTGTAGCATTCCTGAATATATCAAAAGTTGGATCTACATTGGATCTCACCTGAATCGCCCCATCTATCTTAGATAAATTAACTAATTGTGTTGCCTCGCTGTTCTCTTTCACGGTCATAAAACTCAAATATATTATTGATATTGCCTTTTATCGTCTCTAATTTTGCAAGTTGTGAATTTTCATTCTCTATTTTTGGTAAAGATAGACCTAAATATCCCCTTGCGCATCTCCATTCTTGTATCCATGTGAATTCATGGTCAGTCATTTGCGTATAGAATCAGCGCTGCATGGGGTCCATAACCCTGCCATACCCCAAAGAACTACACACCAAAAGCACCCGATAGGGGGTAGAAGCACCCCACTTCCTAGCCTTTTAAAATGTATGCCAATTAAGAAATAAGAAAAATTACTGTTTACCTATGGATGCACACACGGATTTTAGAGTCACTTGTATCGAGTTATTTTCCTTGGTTTCATGAAAAATAGAACACCTTTCTTGAGATATCTAACAAAAATTGCAACATCTCTTTTTTAGAACGATTCCATGCCACCCACTATCACCATTAGTTGATGAAATTGATTTTGTTTTGGAAGATTCTTCTTTTCTTTCATGATACGACATATTAGGTATTTGACAAATGATACGACATATTACACTATTATGAATCAAATGTTATAATCTTCATGGACGAAAGGACAGCTTATACCTGAACCCAACTTATAAAAGTGTAAAACAAGAAAAAACAAATAAAAGAAGAGTCTGAATGACTCCCAAGAGAGGATAAATTAAATGCTACATCCTATTTCTCTCTTTTCTTTATTGATGATAAATCATTTAAACTATTCGGTTTAGAAAGCTTGAATTTGCTCCTTGATTGCAACCCCTCTTAAAAAACTAAAAGAAGAACCAAAACTTTTGATCAATGGAAGAACAATATCACCATTTTTGTTCAATAAGATACCAAAGTGATTAATTGACTCACCTTACGACAAAAGACTAAAAGACCCATACTAATACCATTTAATGTTCTACCAGATCCTCATCATCTACGTCTGTGACCACCATTACAGAAACATTAGGAAAAAGTTCAGAACCATATCAGCACATTATACTAGCACAATCAGGATTTCTTTCTTCAAACAGCTTTTAGGGTCACTAGTGACTATATTGCACTGACCATCAGATATCAGTCAACAAATTAAGAATAGAAGGAAGCACTTAGAATGATTGCAGAAGTATACAGATCAGGAAACTTACTACGTAAACAGCAGAGAAGGATGCCACAGTTACTAGGATCAGTGGCCAAAATGCTAAGAAGTAGGTGCCTCCAAGGGTTAGCAAGACTTTAGCACGTGGAATTAAACCCTGACATATATAACACAAGGACTAATTAGCATGTCCTTGATGATAATAAATAAGATACAGGACAGAAGGAAAATCATTGCCTTAGACAAAAAAACATGATTTGCATGAAAATTTTGCCTGGCTTATAAATAAGTTGCACAAATCGTTTGTTTCAACAGCTCAACTGCAAAAAGAAGGGTGCTTTCAATATTGGAGCTACAGTTTAAGCTGTGTTTCCTAATATATTTTCATTTATCTCACATATAAATGCATAAACATACATACACACATGCCAACATGCTTATCTTAGATAGTGAAGGAGAACATTAATCTTTGAAAAGGAACATGAACCGAAGCTTCAATGTTATTAAAAAAAAAGATATTCGTCTGTTTTACTAATTAGGTAAGAAAATTTAATGTAAACCAAAAAACGTGGATACACTTAAATTCAACAACTAGTGAAGAAACACATGAGCTATAACTAAAAAATTATGATGAGTTTTGCTAGTAATCAGAATACATAAATCCATGACAACTTAAACATTTGGGAGCAGGAGTTGGAAATAAAGGGCACAGAACAAGGATATCCAGAGTGTTATGTCACTCTGAAAAAATGAACTTCCAATGTATATCAAATTGCATTTTGACTAAAAGCATGCTGTCATTTTTTACCTAGGTCTAGACAGTCAGTTTCGATTTTAAACCAGTCAAAATTTTCATTTCATAAACTTTAGAAATTTTTCCACATTAATTTGAGTACTAACTCTTGTTTATTTCTCAAGTCGAAATTTATCACCAAATTGAAGTCATAATATGTTGATTTATAACCACTTCATGAGAGTGTGTCCGATAAACCATTCAAATATGAAAAAAAAAACATTACCATCGATAGCTATCTAGCAATACACACACACGTGCACACACACACACACACACACACATATATATATATATATATATATAGAATCACAGCTTGCAAGTAAGGGGAAAAAGTGGTAACTAAGGGGCAACGATATTGTAACTCCCACGTTGATTGCACATCAGTATTTCAACAATTTACTAGCATGTATAACAAGTAAACTCATATTTCACGTAAAAATAGTGTTTACAAACAAGTGTTAATTGGAATGTTTGGGTCATGCGAGGGGTCAGAAAAATTGTGTGACAAGACAAAAGATATAAATGATGGAAATGCAGAGAATTGATCCCCGCAACTATCATATAGGAAAGCGTGCTTTTTGACCATCTCAGATATAACCCAATTACTTAGGCTCAGCACTTTACAACATAAACTTTATTTCGTATTTCTTTTTCAAACCATACATATAATAGAAACTCGCTGAAATCCCAGTCATGACCGTTAAACTTACACCCTAGAGGGCATTAACCCTCCAAATTCCATTTGGATGGTCAAATTTGTCTGGCTGTTAGAGATTTTCTTTCACAAGAGATTCGAGGTGTTAGCCCATTAGAAAATGAAACATGTCAAGACACAAGTTAGTGGCCTGTTGGTTCCCTCTCATGTTGGCCTAGGTCGACACAAAGGAGAGGGGCATGAGAAACAGGGTCAGTGGGCATTATGAGACAAAGTGGTGGATGTTGTGGCCAATGGACAAAGCCAAGACCCTTCTATGATGTGTGACACTTGGGTATAACATGCGCGGAGCGTGCATGGCGCATGGTTTCTTTGACAGCTTTAATGTTGATGTGATGAGGCCAAAATTGGGACTCAAGCAAACCAAGCTTGTGTTAAGCAAACAGTAGCTGAAAAGCAGCAAGTATGTGTCAGGACTAGGGATAATTGTTAGGCAATATTAGGTGGCAAGATCTCATAAAAACTTACTCTTAGCAAGTGATGCATATAAGAGCAAGGAATGAGACAAATCAATGACAGGTTGAAAAGATTTGTTGATCAGTCCACTGCTTAAGAAATGACTTTGAAGTTAGATATTTCGAATAACAAACAGAAACAAGCCAGGAGTAGTTGGCTGCCAAACAAGCAGTTTTGGGCAGTTAACCCAGTCAAAAGGCTTACTTGTCCCTTTGGCACATGGGGTGTCATGTGTCTCAATTTTGTATGTGGTATTTGTGTCTTTGGGACTTGTTTTGCTCTATCCTGTGCTGTAAGATCAGCTCTTTAAAAGCATTCCTTTGTAAATTGTACAAGGTAATAAAAAGGTTGGGACATGTTCCTGCATGTGTTGGCTTGTTTGATTGTGTTGGTGGTGCATTTTCCCCGACGAAATTGTGTGCGTTCAAGGGTAGAGTTTCTAGTGATTGATTGGTAAAGAATCAAGCCATCATAGGCAGAAAGTTCACACATATTCGATCCATGTGACAAGAAGCCAGATCACTTCTGGTATGTAGAAGGAGGTATAACTATATGAGTCTCTCTATGTCAAGGCTAAAGAAAACCAGGAGACTGTGGAAATTAAAATCAGGAAGGGTCCATCTCTAATGTTAAAGAAGGTATAAGTCTCTCAAACTCAAGGCCACAGGCAATAGTTGGACTTGGCACACCTATATGCCCTTCATTGTATGTATGGTAACTATAGATGCCTTAGTGGTATATAACAGCAATGAGACTTTCAACCAAACAATAACCATTTCATAAAGAAGTCAAAGAAGGTAAGAATCTTTCAACCTCGAGGCCCTCACTGTTCAAAGCCATAGATCGCTCCCTTTGATTAGATAGGCTTTTCTCAAGATCTGTCGATACAGCATTTCTATTTGAAAACCCTCCATCTTCTTCCTTATATATCCTATTCTCGTCTTTTGAGGTGCTCCAACTTTCCTCTAATAATGAAGTGGGTGTCATACCCCGTCGCTTCAGTTCTTTCATGAACAAAGACTCGGTAGGTTCTTCACCTGTAGACAGTAGAAATATCAGACGACCATGTTGGATATTATAGACTACTCCCCATGGAAATGTAGATGAGCAGACAAAAATAGTAGTGTAATTCATTCAACAGAGCTGAATACAAAATTTGCAAATATTAATAAACAAATAAAACACAACCATTAGCAGTAGGATGAGAAAAGTCCATAACTGGCTCATGGAGTTCAACTGCCACCAGCTAACATCAGAAATAGCCAAAGGGCAGGTATTTGTGGGGACCCACTCCTCTATTCCACTCAGGTGGATATGGGTGTAAAAACGGGGATGAAACAGGCACGGGGTTAATTTTTTAAGTTGGATCAGGTTCATGGCAAATACAAGGTATAACTGAAACCTGCTTTCTCCTTGACCATTGTGTATGCAGATCATTTTAGTAAAATACTTTCTCTATACAATCACTTTTTATATGTTGTTCTGTTAATTCCTGATGATGTGGTTCTATCTCTATTTTGCTTTATTTGGTTTTAGCTAATATGTAATAGCATTTGGATTCAATAATTCAAACTCTTATTTACACGTTCAATCATGTTCCAAGAATTCATTAAAGCGAAAACGGTTGAAGCACACAGGTATGGGGTAGTAATTGGGGAATAAGCAGATGTTTGTTGATAGGAAAACATAGCCATACATATGATGCAGGGTGGGTATGGATGAATGTTCAAAGATCTACATGTTCTGAGTTGTGATACAATGTACTGTTCAGTCACCTAAAACCCTTAATAACTCCTGCTCTGGTGGAGATAAATTAACTAAGGAAAAAAGTACAGTTGGTAAATTAGCATGCAGAGTGTACCAGAGAGTACTTCAAATCATGTCACGCAGCCAAAGCAAAATCTTAATTACAAGCTTCTCGTTTATGTTGTCTAGTTGAATTATAAGCTTCTATTGTTTCTGCAGAGCAATGAAATATCCCAGAATACTAAATTACAGATTTGCATCCATCAATACCAGTATGCTTCATTGTCAGGTAAATCATGAGACTTGTAAAACCTGAAAATATTTGTTCTTATATAATCAACTTCTTGATTCGGAAAAAGATTTCGTAAGAACTAATGGAACTTCCAGTGTAACAGGGAGTCCAACACACGCCATATAGATTCAAATTAAACTAAACATGAACCTCTCTTGGCATACATAGAACACATCTTCGACTTCCAGGTCCTATGTTCAAAGTCAAACTACTAAAATTCATCATGTGACAGAAAATCCAAAAGAAACTATACCACGTTACATACTCCCACTACACTTCTTGATTCAAATCATGCGGATAATTAGCAAGAAATAAGCCCGACATCACCACCAAAAAGTAGAAAAGAGAGAGAGAGAGAATAAGAGAAGGAACATAAGGCGAAATATTTGGGGAGCAAACCTGTACCTTTGCTTTCATTATCATCAGCATCTTGAACCTTGCACGAAACCATAAACCTTGTATTAATCGGTACCTTTGATCTGAAGTTGATAATTCTTCTGCTATCATGACAAATCAAGCGTTCTTTCCTACGTGAAGACGATTGCGAAGCATAAAACGGATATAAACCGGATTTCAATATGTGAAGGGAAGCCATTCTATAGGGTTTGGAAGAATGGGGATTTGAGTATCTACGAATAGATTAGAGAAACTCCATAAGAGTTGGGGGAGAGATAGAGAGAGAATGAAGCAAGTGGCAGTGAAAGGAGGGGGATTTGTCGTAACAGGAATGTGGCGTACATTAAGTTATTTGGGTAGTTGATTGCTGTTGTACGCCGTGTGCGTTAAGATCTTTGTGGTTGGTATTTCGTGGCTGCAAGAAACACCCCGTTTCGGGTTGCTTCTATTTTATATTTATTCTCTAAATAATAAATAATATTCTTTTTGTCTTAGAATTATAATATCTTTTTTTTAATCTTTTTAAAAAATGGGAATAAATGTTTTTAAACCGTAGCCGATTGGCTTCGATTTTGACGGGCTGCTTGTCAATCCTCGAGCCATCTTAAAACAGGACGTGAGTCACTTACCAGGTTGTCGACATCAATGGAAGAACACTTGGCAAGTGTGAGGTTAGTGAACTCATGTTCAAGAGACGCGGCTCGTGATCCTTTGTTGCTTAGAAAAATATTCTTGACCTTATTCCAAGCCGTCTTTGCAGTGGTGGTGTTTTCCAGATTTTGTACCACGAGATCGTCTGACACAGTGCTATAAATCCACTGTAAAACGAGAGCATCGATTTCCTTCCATTCGTCATAGCAGGCATCATCTTTATCGGGTGAAGGGGTGTCGTCAATATGGTTCATAACCTTGTAGGCTGTTGTGTGCAACTTAAAAAACTTAACCCACGATGAGTAGGTTATTTTTGTTTCCATCCAAGGTTCTGATTTTATTGTTGATGTTGGTAACAAAATATGCTTGAAACTTCACAGCAAAACGCTATGAAGATAACTTTCACATTGTTTTTACTGTGAAGGTTCGGCTTTTTTTTTTACCATCACAGCGTAAAAAAGTGGTCTCATAAAAACATGTTTGTCTCACGTAAACCCAACTCATGATATAAGTATATGAAAACATCTCTGTTTTAAATTCAAAATCTTTAAGTAGATAGAATGTGTAAATTAATCGTTTTTGGCCGATTTCCACCCATATAATGTGTTATTTAAATGTTTTTATATTGGTTGAAAATTAATTTAAACCTTAGATATTAAATATTTTAATTAAAGGCCTCGAAATACAAATAATAATGTTAAAACTGAATTAGCGTCATTTGTAAATAAACGCTCTACTAAGCACAGAAACTCGAATTTCCCTTCCATAATTATTGATTTCAAAACATTTTTTTTTTCAAAATAAATAATTTAATTTGACAAGCATTGTAGGATAAATGTGTCATCGTCTAAATGATATGATGATAAAGATAAATTAGAATTAATCTCTCTTTATAGTTATCTACTTGTAACTCATCTCTCATCTCTATATAAAAGGCTTATCATTAATGAGAATAACAGATTCGTTCTCTTTATTCTATTGTTACTCTATTTCGTTTTTCCCGTTTAACATGTTATCAGCACATAAGCTCATAAATTGACATCCTTGTCATCGTTTGCCGTTGTTGGACAACGTCTACGCTACATTCCATCGTTGTGACAACTTGTTTGGCTCAAATGTCATGGCGTTTGTGTTGCATTTCAAGAAGTCCTTCGGAGGTTTGTGCCAAAAAGAACAAAGGGTTGTACTCAACGACAGACTGGGGTGGGATCGAAGGCCTCCTCGGCCTCCAAAGTCCAGAGTCTTCAACAACCGGTGCATGACCATACGACAGATTTACAGATGCTAAAAGAGGAAAAATAGATCAAATGGTCATATACTTATTATTAATGATGTTGCCATTGCCAGCCACAAATGGGAAGTTAATGAACACCTGATCCATAGAAACTATTTTTCATCTTACAAGTGTGGGTATGACTACAATGGATTAGATAGAAGCAAAACTTAGAATCTCACTTTCTGTAAGCTGATCAAATTCAATCCTTTGGGGATACAAGTAAAGAAGAAAGGATTATAACTTATCTTCACCGATCTTGAAGAACGTATACGACAGGATTATATTGTCGATACCATCCATCCTAGGATCCGTTTCGAACTCCGGGTCTATATAAAAGAACACCTACAAGTTGAAGAAGTTGGTTGATATTTTCCACACAAATATGATGTTTGCTCCCTTGGTCCCATAAAACTTACCACAAAGGAGTACCCATGAAAACTACGGTTTATTTTTTTGTGAAATAAAGCAACCATTTTGCGTATCGTGTGTATAACTTTCATGGGACAGAGGGTGGTAATAGTCTTTTAACAGATGAACGAAGGCATACTTACAGGCATATCAATCTGCTCGCCTGGAAGAAGACGCTGCTCCTCAAAGCAAAAGCACTGTATTTTGTTGAAGTAAACTGCAGCCTGCACAGCCACATAAAATTACCAATTTCGGAAAGTGCACAAAGATTTAAAATATGTTATTAAGTCGAAGAGGGCAAGAACACTAAAGCGTCCTCAAAAAACAAGTGTTGTTGTAGCAAGAAATCTTACGTTTCAACTTTCTCCATCTTGGTTCAGATATGCAATATTACAAATGATATTCTAGATCAAGAATTGTTTTGTTACATGACAACTGTATTTCGGTTAGAATTTATTTGTTGGGGCCTAGAAGGCTAGAACTCTCAACTTGAACTCTCTCATTAGTTGCAGAACCTTACAACTACAACCAGTTTATTTTTTTCCCATTCTTTCCTCTTGTTTTATCCTTTATCATAATATTATCATTATCTTTTATGATGAATATCACATATTCTCCATAGAGAGAATCAAAAGTTAAAGACGACTTATTGGGAATGTTGACTAGAACCCAATACAAACCTTCCTCCCAAATATTCACTAAATATGATCTACTACCACTTGAATCAAGAGAAAAATTTGTATTTCAAAAGATCATCGGTAGTCAAAGGTGACCTAAAACCAAAAAGGAGGAATCTAGAAATCAATCTCCTCAAGACAAAAAAATAAACTATATTAACACAAAGCACCAAATCTCTATCAAGCTATTCTTCCGCATGTTCATCAACGTCCCTGGTAGAAATACTCACAGGCCGGAATAGCAAATGAGGGGGTGCTACTTATAGAGATAGCTTTTTTATGAATCCTTCACAGCTCACTAACTAATCGGTTATCTTAATCTGGCTTTCCTTTTGACGTAGACAAAGCTAATTCAATCCACACCAAGCTTAGTGTATCATTACATCTAAGAAGCAAGTACTGCTCCTTCCAACAGATGCATCTGCTTAAGCAAATGTTATGGGTCATCTATGTAACTAATATCCTCGAGTAGTAAAAAATGGATGTCTTCACTTTTATAGATGGCACTCTAACTATAACCAAAACATGAGTCTCACAAGAAGCAGATGAGGTTATCAATTGTAGTGTCCACACTAAACTGGAACGTTTATGATGATCTCTCTTATAGATTGTAGAGTTGCCGAGGCAAAAGCAAATTTGAAGCTCTTTTGTGGATCGATAATTAAAATGTTTGATATTGATTGGCAAGCCTTATTTGCATAAGCTGAACGCATTGACTCAATACATCAGGATTGAAGTGGAAGCAACTTTGCCCAGAGTGTAAGCTCAGTCCTCTATTGACTCGATAAATCAGGAGACTATACCAGCTGAACCCATCAGTACACATCAAATGAGAAATGAACATTATTACCTTCATGGGGGTAACATTATATGTAGACATGCCAGTTATAGGTGTTGAACTACGATTTTCGGCAGTGTAGAAGGCAAGAGCACTCTCTCCCGGCTTTACCCTGACCTACATATACAAGGGGTTCAAAGTGAAAATCATTTAAGCCAGATAAGATATTAAAAAAGACAATATATCAGTCCCTATGAGGTACAGTCTGCGTACATCATACCCTCCCCTGACACTATCTCCTGGTGGGATATACTGGTATGTTTGGTTTGGTTTGACAGTCCCTATGATGATCCATTAGTTTCAAAACGTTGGAACACTTGCCCTTGTAAACTAACAACCAAGTAATCTGAAATGTTACAACAACGGTGGTAATCTTATGGTAGAAAATTAAAATACCTCTCTTTGAGTGGGGATGAACTTCCAAGGCATTCCATCTGACACATCAGCATTGAACTGCACCACAATCTCCCTGTAGTAATAAAACCAACGTATTGTAAGAAACATGCACAAGAGCAGCCCAAGGAAGAAAGAAAAAGATTTTATCTTCACTTTTTGAGAAGTGAACTTTGTTTTGTTTTACCTTCTTCCTAAAGATAGGCATAGTAAAATTGTAGAAACAAAATGTCCCACATTTACAAGTAGTTGTAGGTATATTGACTCATTCATCAACGGAACTCTTGAATTAAAGAAGATTTGAAACAATCTATAAAGAAGTTTGTAGGTGTCAAAGACCTTCCAGCCTAGTGGTAAAGGCTTGGGCATGACATAGTCATGAACCCGAGTTCGAGCCCTGGGAGGGGAGTGTTGTCGACATTTAAGTGGGACCTTGTTTAACCTCCAAAATTGTCGGGGATTAGTCGGGCTTTGGCCTGGACACCCTTTCAAAAAAAAAAAAAAAGAATTTTGTAGGTTCCATTAGATTCTGAAATAACACACCTATTGGTGACAGTTCCATCTTGAGCATGTCTTGCAATCTTTTCTTCTACAGTCTGGAGAGGGAAAGGATAAAACAAAATAATGGAAGAAGTATATGAGGTTTTATGTTAATTGTGAGAGATGCCCACAAGATAATTCAAAGCTAAAGAAATCAGAAAGCCTTGTGCATACCTCACGCCGTTGAACAGTACCCCCATAGCCAGTAGCTTGACAAAACCTCCTATACAAARGAACTGAAGCATAAGTACATCCCACCATTGCAAACACCAAACCTGTTAAGTAATAAAGTATCTTCCTTGATTTCTGTTCTCTAACGACATTTGTAGTATACTGATGATGAGAACCCARCACATAAGGTCTCTTCAAGTACCCAACTCCCAAGTGGGAAATTTTATTGAAAGACTTCYTACTGAGTTCAGATCCAGACGTGAAATTTCGGAATTCAGAACARCATTGGCCATGTCTAGAACTACTAGCTCCCACAGAATTATATATTCTCTGTCCAACTTCAAGTAGACACCTGAATCAACAAAAATGGCTCGAAAACAATTATAGAATGCATACATACGTCTACCAATTTAAATCGCCAACATACATGGGCAATAACAATTATAAGCTAGAGCAAGTWGTTASCAACAAAGAGCATTGGAGCTTGRTAGCATATTAGGAAATCTTCACCAATAATGATAAAATTGAAAAGGAAATAYTGTACACCCCAATACTAAATCATGATCATTCTATTACAAAGCTCCTGCTTCATGGCTTTCTTCTAAAACAAAAGAAAAAAACAATAAAAAGGGGATTCCATACCCCTTGGGCAGCAGATCATAGAGGCAGTTAGCCCTTGCCCTGGGGTCTTARTGTTGGCAAAGGCAATCAAGATTCAGATAAGCCCTTCGAGTGTTTCAAAATACATATMGAGGACAATAACAGATACCAYTAGAAAACTACAATCCCACAAGCAGAAAATCGTATATTTCCATTCCAAATAGGTTTGAGCAATTCAATTCAAGTGTGTAGAGATATGCATACAARTAAAACATGAAACCATAAAGTCGCAGAYARCAGATAATTACTTGAAAAAWGTTTAGCAAGTCAAGAAATTACCTCGATCGGACAGGGGTGTGATTTAGGGTTTTGCAAAGGGAAGAGAAGTGAGAGGATCTTGCATAGAGCCTGGCCAATGACATGCTCAATGATAGTGTCTTGCAATCACCACCTATAATTATGTGAACATATCTGGTAGGATCAGAAGCAGAATAACGAGAATAGGGTATGAGATAGAAATGGGATGGCTGGGTGCGTTTGGTACGCAGACAGGCTGGACAGGACAGCTGTTCGGCGTCTGGTAACACAGGACAGCTGTTCGGCGTCTGGTAACACAGGACAGCTGTTCGGCGTTTGGTAACACAGGACAGGACATAACGGGTTAAAATGACCAATGTACCCCAGTGAGTTGTTTAGTGTTTTTTCACTACGAATACAGGTTAATTACGAATATTAAAATCAATACAGAAAAACTATAATTCCAATAACTATACCCTAATCCAATGCTGAAGAAATGGACTAAAATTACTTGGCAAATTGCTTCGAAAAACTATAATTCCAATAACTATGCCCTAATCACAGTCCCATGAGTTAACGATCTATCCGGCATTGAAAACCTCAAAACCAAAAACCAAAACCAAACCAATCGACTCATTTAACGTTTCTAAACATCAGTAAATCATTACTTAAGCATACCAAACATACCTCAAATCGTTGCTTATATTATTGAAGAACCGTTGCTTGAGTTGTTGAAGAACTAGAAAACCCTCGTTCCCTTTTACGGCGACGATTTTTACGTTTCCGCTCGATTTGGTTTAGGGTTTTTGATGTTCGATGAAAAGCGATTCGTGTAGTAAACTCACCAGATTTATAGATCAACGATTCTTACAGGAAAATCCGGCGTGTTTCCATCATGGGGTGGAATATGGTGGTGAGGGGCGGCGTCTTTGGCAGGTGCAGGAGCAGGAGCGAAGAGGTTGAAGACGTCTGAACAGGGCCGATTTAGTAGTCGTCGATTGTATAGAAGCGATGGAAAGCTATGGAGGAAGCGATGGAGGATACGGGAAAAGGATGTGGGGAAGAAAGGAAGCGATGGAGGCTGTGGGGAAGGGGTAGTGTGGTAAAAAAAAGCTTATGTTCAACTTAGTTCCAGGGGTAGTAGAGAACAACCGTGTCCCACCTTGTCCTGCTTAGTTCTACTTATTTCCATATTAAGTCATACCAAACATAGGACAAATGTGTTTTGTCCTGTTCTGTCCCACCTTGTCCAGCACACCAAACACACCCGAATTTGATGACGTTACCGCAACCAAAACCATATATATCATATACGTTGCTTCTGGGCTGGAGAATTGAATAAGTGATATTACTTCAATATAGAGTTCAACAAACGTGTCGATCGCGAATCCAGAAACTTATATATACTTTAAAAGTGTCGAAAAAATTCAAAACCAAATAATTCATCTCGATCAAACGGTTTCAGGTTTTTATTTTTTATTTAAACGGTTTGGTTTATCCGAATAAAAGTAACTTATTTGATTCTGTTTTTAGTTGATTTTCTACTAATTTAGTTAAACTAACATATTATACTACTATTAAAACGGTACTCGTACAATACAACGAGATATATCTTGATTTTGGTGTTTCGTTTTATTCAGTTTCTGTAGATGTTTTAATACGGTTTTTATGTTGTTTTGAGAAATGAATAATGTTTTTGTTTTTGAATAAAATACAAATTTAAAGATATCATAAAATTTCGAAAATAAATATATCAATATCAGTATCAAATTAACTATTTAAAAGTTATTGTTTTTGGTGTAATTTCTTTAATTCAAAATTTTCATTATAATTTAATTTAGATTTAGCAATGAAGTAATTCATTTTTGATTTTTAATAATATTGTTATTTTTATAAGGATAATGATCAAGTATTTTGTTAGAACTCAATGATTATTTTAATTTTATTTTAGATTTTTTATATTTAAAATGAAATGTTTATCTTGTATTTGACTACGTTTATCTGCAGTTAATTACACGAATTCAAATAAGAAGCTTTAATAAGTTGTACTTACGCACAATTTATTTATAATATTGAATTGTAAGTAATATACATTAATAAACAGTACTGCATGCATGAAAAATAGTTTTTAAGAGTTTTTGTCATACTACTATTTATACATTTATCCATATAGTTTAGACTTAAAAACAATTGAACACATTACACATTAAAACAAATCGGATTTATTTATAAATCAAAAATCATAATTAAAGTTCAAAAGCAATAAATTTTTAGGGTTTTACCTAAACCAATAATCAAGATGGAGAAAGGAGAACCAACATACCGATTTCAGAATCAATTTCAAGAGAGCTCGTCTGCCCTGTGAGAGTGAGTAGGAGGACAATAGGTGCGAGTGAATAATGGTATGATCTTACAAATTGATTTTTTTAAAACTTATGTCATTCTCTTTTAGTTGTTATAAAGAATCAATTCGGAATTGATCATTTCAACTACAAAAATAAACAAATAGAGAATGCTTATTTAAAGGGTTCCCTTGCCYGGCAAGGGAGGGGTTTGAGAGGTGCCTCTCGGAACTCACTAAACATAATTACTTTCTTATGGYCAGTGTCGGATCCAGGAAATTAATAGGGCGAGAGCACGTTGGATGGGATTTGGGGAGGGAAGCATATGGTCATATGGGACTGGAGGGAAACCATGTAAGACGAGTGTGAAAATAGAAAATTTAAGCTAGTCAACAAACGGTTTTGGTCTTTAACTGGGGGCCTTTCCCCCTAGTCCTCAAAAACTGGATCSGCCCCTGCTTATGGTGGTGTCTAAACAAAGAGGTAGGGATGAAGACCTTTAACTACAATAAAAGRTTGCAAATGGTGGCGTTTGTTTTGTGTCTGAATCTAAAAACAAATTGCATATGAAATAATAAAATTTGTTTAAACCTAAAATCTATCGAAATGGATGGGTAAAAGACTGTTTCAAAGGATCTACAAAAATCATACCACGTTGAAGAGCRGAGTTGTTTGTAGGGCAAGGAGGATAAGAGATGATGGGGTAAAACAAGTGGTTAATGGAAGGGCCGAGAGGGGAGTCATATGTGTGACGATTAGGGGCATACCACTCAAGAATGATATTTGTACACTTAGATAACAGCGTTGGTTATGGCTAACTGATGTGCGTTTGGTTTGCAGGAATGTTTCTGAGGGATTTGGATTCCATGGGATTTGGATTGGATTGGATTTAAAATCCATTCCTGTGTTTGGTTTGCAGGATTTGGATTTGATTTGAAATCCATTCCTCTGTTTGGTTTGTAGGATTTGGATTTAGATTTTTTTTTTTTTGTAATTATTCTAATCACCAAATCTCTTTCATTTTCTTAAATCTATCTATTTAACCAAAAATTTAACAATCAAACCTTTTCATCCATAATGCATATTTAACAATCAAACCTAAAAATTGATGAGGCATAATGTGAAAACAATTAAGCAGTAAGCATTTGGATCAAACAGCCATCACTGATGTAAAAAGGCATTTTGAACAAAAACTCTAGTATCAAAGACATGGAACCAGTTAAACACTACTTGAGGGTTGAGGTATTTATAAATGATTCTGGTTAAACCAAAAGAAGTATGTTATTGCTATGCTATCAGAATTTGGTTAACTGCTATGGTAAAACACACAAGATAACAAATGGATAGAGGCTAGAGGGAAAAGGGAGAGTGGGCAAATGTGATGAACCAGATTTACTGAACAACTAAAATAAAAGGAATAGGGCAGAACAGTAGGAAATTGTTTGTAAATAACCAGTTAAACACGCCCCTGTTTATACTATAATGCATGACAGCAAATTAGGGCAGAACCCTTGTGCATTTTCAAGTAAGTTTTCTATCTTTACTACACCTTTATGTTGTGCTTCATTCTAAGGTGCTTATCCAGAAATTGTTTGTAAATAACTTTGGGTACAAAGATGGATTTGTGCCCTAACAATTGGTTACTGTTTTGTCTTCAAGAAGGGGAAAGTGCAAACACAACTTTGAGATAATAACTGAATCGAGCATGTCTAATGCTATACAAAAGGGGTTATATGATTTACCTGCTGAGTGATGGGAGACGCCGGCAAACAGGAAGGGCGGTTTAGGGAGCAGCTTCGCGAGGGGAAAGGAAGACAGCACCGGCGAGGAGGCAAACCGATTAGGGCACAGCTTCGCAAGGGACGGGACGGGACGGGACGGGACGGGACGGGAAGGGAGCACCGGCGAGGAGGATTGATTAGGGCGGGAGGAAGCGATGGGTGAAGGAAGCGGGAGGAAGCGATGGAAGTGGTTTTTGTTTATTTCTTGTTGTAGATAAACGAGAGGAAAGGCAAAAAAAGGTAAAAACCAAAGAAATGGTTAAAAGTAATAAATTATTGTTTAAAGAAAATAATTGTAATAACAAAAGAATAATTATCCTAATAAAACAATTGTAATGTTTTGTTTTTTCAAAAATAGTTTCTTAATTATNATTGTTTAAAGAAAATAATTGTAATAACAAAAGAATAATTATCCTAATAAAACAATTGTAATGTTTTGTTTTTTCAAAAATAGTTTCTTAATTATAAAATATTAAACKTATGGGCCAAAATTGACTAACTTTGAAACCTCAGGGATCAAATATGAAGTAACTTGCAATCCATAAAACCCTCCCRTCGTCTCAGGGTAATAGATAAGCCCTTCCTCCACCATCTGCAAARCCATGTCCGTAATTCTCCGGGTCTTACCCGACATAGCAATTCGATCCAGACATCTCTCCCGTCAATCACTTCCATTGTTTCGTGTTAATCGCCTAATTCTCAAACCCCTTTTGAGAAAATCTTTCTCTTCTGTGTCTGCTTCCACGACTGAACCGGTTGTCAGTAATTTCCCGGCAACTGGTAAGGAACAACCACAAYAATCCCTACCCGGATCCGTTCAAGAAACCGCCACTCTTGAATGGGTCAATCGAAATGGTCTATGCGGCGAATTATCTGAGGATGATGTGGGTAGACGGGTTAGATTGTGTGGGTGGGTCGCACTTCATCGGGGTCATGGTGGGCTCACTTTCATTAATCTYAGAGACCATTCTGGAATCGTTCAGGTTCGTCTTTTTGTTTGTTTGATGCCTTTTCTTGATTCCAATGCTGAATTTTGAAACTATGAATCGGTTCCATCATCGATTATTTCATTATGCCTTTTGAGTTTTTCTAAAATTTCGAATTTGGATTACATTGTACTTCCCTTTCTAATTGGTTATTTGGGCTTTTGTTCATTATATGTGGAATAAATGTTTAGGTGCAATGAATAACGGTCATATTGGTGTTTTCTAACTTGGAAAGTTTACAACGAATAAGAAATAAGACCCCCCAAAAGTAGATTTTACCATTGCACTGTCTTCTTGCTTATGGCATGTTTGATTCATGATTAATTACTTGAATATGTCTAAATTTTACATCAAGAAACCACAAGCTGTGGAGCTCTTAATCCCATATCTATTTACTTATAAATTTGCATCATTAGCTCGAACATAGAGCAAAGATTTATCTTAATGTGTATATGTTAATGCCAATGTGGTTTATGATATTAATAGAGAACCATGTTATATTGTTTTTATTTATAAATAGCAATCTAAATTAGAGCAAGTTACCGTCTTGCTTTAGATGTATTAATGAATGAATGAATGAATGACGGTTGGATTTATTAAAATCAGGTTACAACTCTTCCTAATGAATTCCCTGATGCTCATTCTATGGTGAATGACTTGAGAATCGAGTATGTCGTGTCTGTAGAAGGTGTTGTTCGGCTCCGTCCAAGTGATTYGATTAATAAAAACATGAAGACTGGCATTATAGAGGTGGGGTTACTTTACTTGTGATTTAGGCTTTTCAAATAGCTATAKATCATCTTARTGTTGTAATTTAAATATACTTCAGGTCACTGCAGAGCTAGTCCAAGTGTTGAATTCCGTGAGGGCTAAGTTGCCATTCTTGGTTACCAGTGCAGAGGATGCAAAAGATTCTATCAA